ACTGCGAGAAAAAGTCGATCTAATTGTCATAGGTAGGCTGTAACTGAGGCGGAACTCCAATTTCTCAAATTCCCAAGTCGTATGGAGGAGGCTTTCGATTGCGGTTCATCATGTTCTTTATGCTTCTTGCCTTTCGAAATATCTTGATCGCTCGTGTCACATGTCGGCTTACCATCGGCGCGTCAGATATACCATGGATTGCATTCGGATTAATAGTAAGAAGGGATCGTGCTATATGACATTGGTTGCGTCAGCCCTGGGCGCGTCCTCAATCATATCCATTTCGTTGGGAATCTTAGTCGGGGAAACGCAGTAGCATGTGGATGCAATGACCACCAGAAGGATCAAGATAGCGCGCATGTTAGGATAAATCACTCAGGACGAGCCGAACACAAGAGAGTAGGATGATTTATGCCAAGCAAATTCTCGATTGAGCATATAAAGTGTAGACTGAATAAGCATTGCTCAATTTTGATGTTACTACCAACTTGGTCTGAAACAAGCACAGACTGGATAATAAACGACGATTCACAATCAAATGATTAAATAGAGACACGAGATTATTTAAGTAATTATAGTGACAATGTCGTTATGGTTGGAACGTACAATATTATGTTATACGGAGTAGCGGGGTACCAATAAGCGCTGAAAACAAATCCCATTACTAAGTGCAGAGCCCCTTATGGAGAAATTGGAAAGAGCGTCTTAGGCACTAACAAACATACAAATTTATGTAGAAAAATAATAAGCCTTCGATTGTTGCATTGTTTCGATTACGATTACGTCGCTCAATATTGTTGAAAACGATTGGTAATGGTGGGGAGCCATGAGTGATATTTGATCACTCAATATGAATAACTCAATATGTAAAGTAAACATTGTATGGATGGAAATTTGCATTTGTGATCATGTATGCGTCATGTTGATGACAAATTTTATTAAGGATGTTACTACGATCACGTGTTTACCTTTGTCTTGTTGTGATTATGCCGCTCAATGCTGTCGAACTATATTGCGGCTATATGTCTCTCTTAAATGAATAAATATTGTATAATCTTAGTATAGGAGATGATCTAAGATCAGTCTAGTACTTAGGGTGGGGAGGCTACACGAGGGCTCAAATCCTCCGAAGGATTAAGTTTAATTATTCGGCGTTTTAGCGGTCAAAAATTGCTTGCTCTTTCGGTATACTAAAAAGCTTCTCGATCACATGTAGGTCTCGAGCTTCGTGAAAGACTTTGTCAAAAGTCAGTAGCGGACGCAATCCGGCAAGTTCATTGCCCGTTACTTTCAGCTCATCCATTGTGTGGACTGAGATGTAATTAATCTGATGAACAGATATGAGTCAAGCCAACCTCGACTTATAAATCAAATCGATCAAAAGTAAATGCGAAGCGCCTCGTCGATATAGATCCTGACTTTATGGGCGAGTGATGACGAAAACGATGACTTGTTTACCGACAAGCTGTCAACCTACGATATTTTTTTAGTTTCTATTAGGCTCAACACATATACAAGAAAAAAGTCTGTTTTGCTTTTAAATCTAGGACAACGGATTGCGCGTGACTACTACAAATGCACTTTATATTTATTTGTTCTCTTGCTGCAGTAAAATATACTCCAGAAGTCTTCCTTCAAGACGAAGTTCGATAAAAATTATTCTATTTTAATAGTTACAGCCTAAGAAATTGTGGTCATTTTAATAAAGTCCGTATATATCAGTGTTACATGAAAAAAATCGAAATGTTATCTCGTACGTTTCTCACAAGGTCGCCATGCAGAATTTGATGCTTCTTCCATAGTTCTTAGCTATATAAGTATCGACAAGAATGGCGACGATTGCGTTCTGTTGAGAACGAGCACGAAATTAATGCTCAATAACGTGGCGCTCTAAAGGTCACATTGGCAACGCTGCACAAATGACCTAGTGAAGCAACTAGTAATCGCTCTCGACATAAATGAAGGCCCGAATTATACGATATCAAATCGAATAAACAATTTTATAAAGATGCCAAGATAAAAAAGACCACATAAATCTTGTCGAAAAAATTTGCTGGTGGAGAAGACCGTAGCAGATTGTATGTACTCTTTGCAAACCCTTAAGCTATGTGGGTATGTTGACGTTCCTTCTTGCTCACTACTGTAACATGTTCGTGATTTTGATATTGCCTAACCTCAGATAGCCGTATTTTCGTTGCATCATTGAAATTTCCTTTAGGGTTCGACCGATTTTCGTACTCTTGCTTGGCAGTTTAATGTTTCCAACGTCCATATGCTCGTAAATATTCAGACGAGTGCTCTGATTCTAACAATAACCAAAAATGTGTAGAATGTGGAGCATTTTTGACATGATAATCAAAGTGTTTGTTCATTCGTTAGATGCCGCATCATTGACTATAATTGACCGTGGCTAAACCTTAACCTTGTTTCTCACCAACCTATTATCCCCTACTAGTGTCACAGATTACTTAGTGCTGTTACTGCACATTGCTGCCAGCATAATTAAATTTTATGAATGAAACTGTAAAATCTCAATCATGAAAGTGGATCCAATTAACCACTAGGCTAATTCGTTCTCTATAAAAATTAAATACAATACGGATACTTTTAGGATAGACATATATTCGCAACATCGTCATTCAACGATATTGAACAGCGTGATCTCAACAATTCTATGGTTAGTGCTTCTTTTACATGAAATAATATACCTCTTGATAGTTTGTGGCCTGTTTGTAATTTGAACATTCGGGGATCTGCTTTAAGCGCCATCGCCCCATTAAACTTTAAACAAAATACGGTACGTTCCGACCATATTCTCGTACATACACCGTAGTGACGCTATCAAAAAAATACTTTCAAATTATGTGCATTGAACAACCTGGCGTGACAATTCGATCGTTTGATTGTAGATCGTAAGATCTAGTTATTGTCTTGACTATGCTTGTTTAGGACCAAGTCCGTAGTAACGTTAAAATGGAGCATATGCTCGTTCAGTCTACTTAGCTCTACACTTAACTTGTTACACGCTCATTCGGGATTTTTTTTGGTTTAAATCACCCCACCTTCTTGTGTTCTGCTCATTCTAAAGGATTTATCAAAACATGCGCGTTATCTCGATCCTTCTGGTGGTCATTGCATCCACATGGTACTGCGTTTCCTCGACTAAGAATCCCGACAATACTGATTTGATTGAGAATGCGCACAGGGCTGACGCAACCAATGGTCATATAGCACGATTCCTTGTTGCATTCAATCCAAATATGATTCACGGCTTAGATCACACAGCAGTGATTAGCAACCGTTGGGTACAACTGGTCAAGCTTTGGCGAAAAGCAAAAAGCATGAACTGGATGAAGGGCAAACAGAAGCCTCCTCCATACGACTTTGGAATCTGAGAATTTGGAGGTCACAAAATACTAATTACAGCCTAACTATGACACAATTGATCGACATTGTCTCGCAGTTTGATATGGTTTGAAGCCCATGCTTTAATTTGCAACAACGACAAAAAATTTCGGATCGTGCTGGAAAGGTTTCTATCCTGTAGGCAGTCTCTCTTAGCTTGTTTATATAATTAATAATAAACGAAGTTATCCATTCTCACTTTTTGCTTATCGTTTCATTGTGAGTCGTGTTTTCTCATCTTTATCAACTTCTCCCCACTGCTTGCACTTAACAAGTTTAACAATAGAAATACGACGATTCGTCTCGAGATTGATCTGCGGGAACGGATAACATAATTGCAGCTTGTATATCGGTAAAAACGTACAGCAACACCAACACCAATTGATCTGTTGACCATCTCATATAATAATCTATCGAGGATCATTAAGGCCTTTCGAGATTGAGATTTGTGCTTTTACATCCTTGAATTAACTACACGTATTACTCCATTCCTCGCAAAGACACCTGCGATCACTCCATACCGTGTAGCTTGCAGGCGACAGTTTCATTGGTTTCAAGTAAAGCTGGCAAAGAATATTGTTTGACCAACACATCAACACAATTAAATAGACATTCTACGCTTATCGTGGAAAATTATAAAGTCACCCGACTACTCCGACCTGTAATTATTTTTGGGATTCTTGACACCTTTCTCCTGATGTTAAGTCGAGATTCTCTCCAGTACAGTAGAAGTGCATTGTTTTGAATGTTGTGTGTCAAGGCGCTTTCATACAGTATTTAAGAATTTCTGAGCATGTGGATGTCTGAAACATTATGCCATAGAGATTATCGATGCAACCACAAGCATATATCAAAGCTAATTTATTGCTGATCCAGAGTGTATCAAGATTTCGCGGTAGTATGTCGGTCTCCATAGATGAATTTAGGTGGAACATAATCTCTGCGCCTGAGAAAAGAGTAAGTTATGTTAATCGCGAGTACAGATTGCATTGTGTCGGTAGTCTGGGAGATTTTAAAGGTGCCGCAATTTGAAGCTGCCCTGAGTACGCAGCGGAAGAGATCAATATTACGAGGTGAACATCTTACAGTCGTAAGCAAAAAGGGACTTAAATATCTTACATGGGTTGTGGCTTCTGGCTTGAGAGATACAATTGTGTTTTAAACACCATTGTTATAAAAAGTACGGGGAAGGAGTCTATCTTTCAGGCACATGCAGCAAAAAATGGAGTGGATCATTTGTCCTTCATGATTCACAAGCAGATTACCACATCATGTAGCTTCACGCCTTCAATGTAACGGTGAACCAAGACTGGCTACACTCGGTAATTTTACCACGTCTTGTATTTTAGTGTTTAAAACACAATTGTATCACATCTCGCGAATATTTTTCTATTTGTATCACCTTTTGTAATAAACCCATAAAAAAATACCTAGAAATTGCAAAGGAAGTTGATTGGTCAGAGCTAAAATTCAAAAACGTTAAAGCTTTTCGTTGACATAGGGTGTTAAACCTGCACCTCTTCCGTAGCCTCCACCTTTTCACTTTCCAATCTTCTTCAAAGCCTCAAAATCCAAAAGCAAAATATCCTCTGAAGATGCGTCTTGCTGCATTTGCATCGCTAATAGTGGCGTTTTCTGCTACAATTGAAGCCAATCAAGATGGCACAGCGTGCAACCTTGCATGTGCCAAGGGCGAGACGTGCGAACTGAAAACAGTTCAGTGCATCACTGCGCCTTGTGACCCTGTACCTACGTGTGTCCCGATAAAAGGTTATCCTTCTGAACCGGTGTGTACGAAAGTATGTCCCACGAACGAGGTGTGCCAGATCGACGCGGTCAGCCATGAACAGCTTTGCTTTAACCCCTGTGCCGTCACACTCTGCATCGAGGGCACCACTTGCGTCGTTGAACAAGTGCAATGCATCCGAGCCCCGTGCCCACCACTTGCTGTTTGCAAGCCGAACAAGAAGTGCGATGATTCCTATGGCAGAGCTCTTCGCGAACGTATTGAAGATTAAACTTCTATCATTGGAACAATATGATCAGTTTCAGTAAACTTGCTATGTCAGAGTTGTTTAACTTTCCATTCCAATACATTGGTACATATTTTGATCAAAAGTTTGTTCTAAAGTTATCTAACCAAATAATGTTAAGATCCAAAGGGCAATTGACGACAAGCTGATTTAAAATCTAGCCAGCTCTATCCATCCCGAAACTCTATAGAATTAAATGAGTCTAACATTTGCATCACGAGGATTCTTTTTCGATAGATATTCTTGTTTGTTGGACCGCCTGATAGGGTATTTTTCTGCGGTGTTGATAGATCAGCAGTTACTGTCCGCACATTTCGTCGTGACTGCGATAGCGTCTTAAAAACTATTATTTTTGCGTATGAGACGCTTTACAAGACTGTAACCGCAAATAATCGGCGTAAACATTGTGATGGATACTTTAACTTCACGTATCAAATTCGTTTCAGTATAGAGTTACACGTCTGCACGATACCTCAATTTTTTATCATTTCAAGTTGGAAACTTACTGTGCTAGCCAAAATTCTGACCTTATTATCGCTAAATAAGTGCATAAATA